TCAGTAGACATTAGGCAGATGTGTGCAGAAATGTGCGTATATACGCTGCTGGGAATTCCCATATTTATTTATATATATATATATATACATACATACATATATATTTATTTATTAACATATAGCTGTATTTATACAATAGCAGTTTCTTGTTATAGCTCAATCTCCTAGTGTTGATATGAATAGGTACGAAGAAGTAGATAGATGAAGGTAGGCTGGTGGAATACTGACCGCCTAAACAAGCACCAAAGGCAAGTGACCAAACCATAGGCCCAAGAGGAACTCCAACTTTTGGATCTTCTGCTAGTTGTGTAACAACACTAACCTATAAGAAATAGTAAGTAAACAAATACATTTTCATGCTGTTTAGTATATATATATATATATTAACATGCATGTAAATTTAAAGTTTTTGTTTAAGAATAAGTTCATATTTATAACAGTGAAATCAAATAAAGAGAAGGTTGCCACTACTAGGCAAGACTCTTACCATGGCGGTTGTGAAGGGAATATTGTCGATAAAGCTAGACGCAAAAGCCGACACCCATGTAATTAACACGATTGCCACTAGGAGGCGCCGGTTTTCACCCTCTACAGATGAGATGATGTCTGCGGTCACTGTGCCGATATAGGCAAGCAAGCCAAGCTTTTCCATTCCCTGTATGCATGACATAGAAACACGTTAAGTTCACGATTTAGAGTTGACAGGATTAACAATGCAAACATTTCTTGTCCTGTCATGCACTTTGTTTAAGTCTCTCTGTTACAATGTTCTGAATATAGCTTGAAGCTCTGTTCCAAATCATTCGGGATAGGTTATAGATTATAGCATGAGCGTGTCTCCGCAATACAAATGTAAGTCTGTTTGTGGTTATAGAAAATTAATTACCCGATTCAAACCTGTTGGGACTGACATTACCTTCATGAGCACAAACAGAGCGGCGAAGAAGATGAGGGTTGTCCACTCCACCCTGTTGATGACGCTCTCAATCTCCATCCGATCAGAGACGATCATCAGCACGATGGCTCCCATGATGGCTATCCAGCCTGCAGGCACCACACACATGCAATCACTCACACATTCAACGACATAGACGATTTACGCCCATCACGCAGGGCTAAAACCAGAGAAAATACCAGAGGGTGAAGTAGAACCATTCACCCAAACTTATATCTAAGAAGAAGCGATTCTATTTTTTTAGCTGTGTGCTGTCATGGAAGTGGAAGGAAGGGTTGTGCACACCCGTAGAACGGTGGTCAACCCCCGAAGCGCACCAGCTCGCAGGCCGTCCGTGAGCAGAACGGCCGCCAGGAAAACCACAGTGCGTGGTAGACGCGACGTCGAGCAAGACGACGACGACCTTCTGAGCTTCGAAGATGACGATGAAAACGATGATCTAGAGTGGTAGCTACATATTGCAGCACGACGGTGACGACTTTCAGCATTGGTGACAGTGCTGTGCTCTTTGGAGGATCAGGCAATCTCAGGCCGGAGATGTTACAGAAAGAAACAGCTAGTATAACCATATGTTTTGCTGTTCATGCATTTATATATTCAGCTCAAAAGATTCGTTAAAATAGTAACTGCCGATACGACTAGCTACAGATGCATATTAACAATGCTTTTTAATTAGGTCCATGTCCTACTAAATGGAAATTAACCAAAAAATTATGTGCAGGCTGGGTACAAAATAAAAATATTATAAATCTATTTTTAGTGTTCATGTCTATCTCTTCACGGTGAAACTGTCGTGTAATGTTATATGCGTCAGTTGCTTACATGCAAATTCAAGCACATGCAATTCAGCTGATCTTTCTGGTTTAACGATTTTGATACATTCTATGCCACAATGAGTGTCCGTGACGATCGACGTTAAAATGTTGAATCCGTTTATTGTGACTTAATTTATTAAGATAATTATTCTGACAGTTTTCGTAAACTCGACGTTTCACTCGTTATCATGCACTTCTTCAGCGATACACGATTAAAGATTCTTAATCACGCTACGGGGCAAAAAACTTCGGAGATAAAATTAAGTAAAAATGTCAGCATCACTACAGTCGAGTGTTCGATGGCACAGCACGCGCACGCATAATTGCTATCGGTCTGACCACCGAGATAATAATTAATAGAGCTCAGTGGGTCTGACCATAGATGTAGGCCTATGCATATATAGGAGGCGTGAATAATAAGAAATTATAATAATTATCGTAATCTATTATTATTATTCACTCCTGATATATCTATGCACATATATATGCATATATGTGTTTGTATAATATATCTATGGTCTGACTGCAGCCATTGCGATTCTCTGCTTCCTGCCCGCGAAGTGGCGGTGGCACTATATACTACCGTGAGCAATATAATTATAACAAACACCGGCACATATTACGCCGGCAGGCACAAGTGGAAATGTGAAAATTCTGTGTTGTGATGAACGAATACAACAGTACTAAATAAACTTTGAAGATTTTTTATATTATGAGAATTCATAATTCGTAAATTTCTATACATAATCGATCTATGTACGATAAGGATACGGGTGGTGGTCTTAGGGTCGGTTTAAAGGTCAGAATTAAGAGAACGGGATGCCAAATAAACAAATATACACATATATATATTTATATCGTTGAATACATGTGAAGTTAGGCTGGCGAAGAGGAAACAGCAATGCAAATAGATATCACGGGCCTTTCGACGGTATAGGTACTGGAAACTAGTTTATTCAACTAGCGGGAAGTACCGCTAGTTGTTATGTAGTATGAACCTGTCCACGATCCTAAGGTCGAACTATCGACGAACGATCGCGAACACGGGGCACGCGTTTTTTACGATCACTGCGCTGATGTGACGGAAGCCCCAAACCCCGGTTCTCAATTTCTACATGTTAATGTAGTCAATAGAAATCTTGAACATTAATTCGTAAATTGTCAACACATATCTTCAAAGCAGTTTTATTTATATCACTTAATAATTGACATAAGATCTAGCTAGTGCATTGAAAACTGATGTTAGTATAAAAACACGTTACCGTTATGACTTGCCAACTAGTAAACACTATGTACATAATTTGAAGAACAGCATAACTAAAAACTAGATACCTCATAAATACCAGCAAAACACCCCGTTCCCATACATTTATACCTGTGTCGATGTGCGTAGTATATATATGTATATATATATATATATATGCGGAAAATGTTTTATATTTCAAGTTGGTATTTTACGTTCTTCAACGTTCAGAACATAAATCGTTCAGGCGATTGAAGTAACTTATGGATAAACTCGTTTTATAACAAAATTAGTAAACGACAAAAAGTAATACAAGGCCTTTGATAGGCTTAATGTGCAGAACCTAGCTATGTTGCGTAACATAAGTGATCGCATTTGATATTAGTTGGTTCGTTGCTAGCGAAAATGTGAATCACACATTTTCTCAAGACTATAGGTAGATGACCTTGGTTTCCCTAATTGTACAGGAAATATATTGGTAGTCAGCAGTATAAAATCTCTGAGCAATGCCTCCTACCACAACAGTTTTTGCAATAGCACCCATGTCTTGACAAATATCCAGAAACAAGTGACTACAAATGCAGAATACTGCAATAACTATACAACACGATAACAATAATACTTTGCGAAAATATCAATCTCCATACCAAATGCTTCCGTGTATTACACGTTTGAATTCCACAGTTAAAAAAAATATAGATTTACAGTTGAGTAGCTTTTCGCTATAACTGTTACATGATGTATGTCATATGTAAAATAGCAATAACAGTAAATGCCCCTACAACCCCTCCTTACCCACACATATGCACACAAAAAAGATAACTAACTAATTAACCCTAGATAATTGATGTTAGTTTGATATCAGGCAAACCATAATCTTGCCATGTGCATGAGATGCCACCCTGGTGTGCGCTAAACTTTGGATTGTTAACGTTTGGATTTCTGGTATTGAAGACGTTACTTGCTTGCATCTCACAAGCATATCTGATAAAAACATAATTGTGGGCTCTTAACAGCCTTACCACTATGCTAAAGACTTTATATGTACACTGTATGTCAATGATTTTACTCATGACTCATTTCTGGGAAAGATTTGGTTAATAAAAATTAAATATAAGTAAAAACCAGCAAAAGAAAATCCTGCATAGGTAAAACTGTAGCTACCATAATTATGATACCAGTCACTATAATATGTTGAGTGGAGCAACAGTCACACGTATGGTCCATTCCAGCCAATGACAACATGACAAATGATTAAATACAGCATCGCCACGGTAACCGACACTATCATCATTGGGAACCCAACCCTGAAAAACAATGAGATGTAATACTTATGTATGACAGGCAAAATCGTACGTATAGTTATCAGTAACGAATATCACGCACAAGACTTAATTGACTAAACATAATTTGAGTCCCAAAATATACAAGAACTTGAAAGTAATACAATACATTATTTGAATACAAATTTTGCATTCATTTTCTGGTTGCAAATACATATCAGGTATGCACATTAAGTCACTAAAATCCAAACATAGCCACATACGTACTCTTGCGAGCATTATATGCAAAGGCTTGCTGCTACTTACTTGAAAAACTCCATGAATGTTAACTTGTATCCATGTTGCTCTGACAAACCTGCGCACACGACGTTGCATGACGCCCCAATTAACGTCCCATTACCTGCAAATACATGTGTACATAAGATATCAATGTGATTGTTGATTCAGTTACATACAAAGAATATATATATATATATATATATATATATATATATATATATATATATATATATATATATCGTTGAATACTTGTGAAGTTAGGCTGGCGAAGAGTAGGCAGCAATGCAAATAGATATCACGGGCCTTTCGATGGTATATAGGTACTGGAAACTAGTTTATTCAACTAGCGGGAAGTACCGCTAGTTGTTATGTAGTATCAACCTGTCCACGATCCTAAGGTCGAACTATCG